GAAAAAGTTTTATTATGATAAGTGTTATATGAAATCGAAAAATGGAATAGACAGGAGGTTGGGTCTTTAGTGTTTAAGACCAATTTATGTCTTATTAAGAAAACTCTGTGTATTATTGTTCCTGTGTGTAATTTGGTATTTGTGTTTTTTTCTTTTTCTTGTATTGCTGTATCAATTAAAAAAAAAAAAATTCCCTGCTCCTCTGTTGATTTGCTATTAGATCACCCGGGCCCTGCAAAAGGCTCTCTTGTCTTGCTCAAAGTGCTTGGCTGCAACACTTTCATTCACAAAAAATGCAACGGGCCTCTTTGGGGTTTGGCTGCTGAAACCATGAGTGCAGCTACCAGTGCCAGTCTGCTTGGGTGTTACGTACTGAGTTAAATAGGATCCAAACTGCAGCAGTCTGATTGGTCCTAGAACAATAGGATCCAAATTGCAGCAGTCTGATTGGTCCTAGAACAATAGGATTCAGAATGCAGCAGTCTGATTGGTCCTAGAACAATGCAGCAGTATGATTGGTTGGCAGGAACCACCCAATCATGCTCCAGATATAAGTGAATCCACAACCTGATTGGCTTACAGTAGAATTCCAGAATTAGCCAATCATGTGCAGCCCATTGTGTAAATAATGTATATAAAGCAGATACTTTGAGGGGACTTTCATTCATTCCTCCTCACCACTATGAGCTGAATAAAGAGCATGAAATCACTTTGCAACTCTGAGTATATTTCACTGGGGAAACTGGCAAGGAGAGGAACCAGAAGGGGGCAGAGAGGTCCCACGATTGGGTTGCAGGCTGCAAACTGGGGCATAGGAAGGAAGGAGGGTGGGGAGGTACGGTCAGCCCCAGGTGTCATCCCTGAGGGGGTCAGCACTTATCACTTACAGGGTCCTTGCCACGGGATCACATTCACCCGGTGCTATACCAGCTTCAAAAAGCACTTTAAAAAGCAGAGACATCACCTTGCCAACAAAGGTCCGTATAGTTCAAGCTATGGTTTTCCCAGTAGTGATGTATGGAAGTGAGAGCTGGACCATAAAGAAGGCTGATCACTGAAGAATGGATGCTTTTGAATTCTGGTGCTGGAGGAGACTCTTGAGAGTCCCATGGACTGCAAGAAGATCCAACCTCTCCATTCGGAAGGAAATCAGCCCTGAGTGCTCACTGGAAGGACAGATCCTGAAGCTGAGGCTCCAAGACTTTGGCCACCTCCTGAGAAGAGAAGACTCCCTGGGAAAGACCCTGATGTTGGGAAAGATGGAGGGCACAAGGAGAAGGGGATGATAGAGGATGAGATGGTGGGACAGTGTTCTCGAAGCTACCAGCATGAGTCTGACCAAACTGCGGGAGGCAGTGGAAGACAGGAGGGCCTGACGTGCTCTGGTCCAGGGGGTCACAAAGAGGCGGACACGACTAATGGACTAAACAACAACAAATACCAGCTGCACTGGCTCCCGGTGGAGTACAGGATCAGGTTCAAGATGCTGGTTTTAACCTTTAAAGCCCTATGTGGCCTAGGACCCTTGTACCTACGGGACTGCCTCTCCTGGTACGCCCCACGGAGGACCTTATGGTCTTCAAACAAAAACATCTTGGAGGTCCTGGGCCACAGGGAGGTTAGGCTGGCCTCGACCAGAGCCAGGGCCTTTTCGGCCGTGTCCCCAATCTGGTGGAACGCTCTATCCCAAGAGACTAGGGCCGTGTGGGACTTGAGATCTTTCCGCAGGGCCTGCAAGACGGAGCTGTTCCACCAAGCCTTTGGTCAGGACACAGCCTGACTCCCTCCTTTGGCAATCCTCACAGAACTCTAGCCCAATGGTTGCCATTAATTTGCTTTTGGACTGATTTTAAAATGAATTGATTTTAGAATGCTGTTACTTTTATTGTTAGCCACTCTGAGCCAGGCTTTGAATGGAGAGGGCGGGATATAAATAAATTATTATTATTATTATTATTATCACGGGGCCTGGCCTGCAGCGCGCCCAAGACACACATCCCTCCTGGGAGTGACGTGGTGGCTGAAGGCAGCGTAGGGCTTGCGCCTGCCAGGCAGACTCAGTGGCCAGCTCGCCACGCCGCCTCCCTGGGCAGATCACTGTGGCAGCCCCTTGCAGCGCCCCTGTGCGCAGATCACCCTGCCCCCTGCCTCTCCAGGTGCTGGAACAGCTAGCTACGCCCCTGGCTGCAAAATGCCTTCTGGAGTGGGAGAACAGAGGTTTCCGCCCTCTCCCCACAACATAGCAGTCCTAGTAAGGTAAAGGTAAAGGGACCCCTGACGATTAGGTCCACTCTGGGGTTGTGGCGCTCATCTCGCTTTACTGGCCGAGGGAGCCGGCGTACAGCTTCCGGGTCATGTGGCCAGCAGGACTAAGCCGCTTCTGGCGAACCAGAGCAGCGCATGGAAACGCAGTTTACCTTCTCGCCGGAGCGGGACCTATTGATCTACTTGCACTTTGACGTGCTTTGGAACTGCTAGGTGGGCAGGAGCAGGGACCGAGCAACAGGAGCTCACCCCATCAAGGGGATTTGACCTGCTGACCAGTCTTAGGCAGCTCCTTTAAACCATGTCAGACCACTAGGCCATCCAGCCATGTCGACATGCTTGGGTTTCAGTCTGGAGCCTGTCGCCAGAGCCCTAACCGGGAGACGGATCAGGGGCTAAAGCTGGGGCAAGCAGGTACTCTGCTGCTCAGCTGCTGGCCTCCTTCCAAAAGATAGAGCAGGATTCTAGCCCTCATGGATTGGCTTAATAAAGGGGTGTTCTGGTGGGAACAGATGTTATTTGAGCACAGGAGGCCTGTCCCATTCTGCGGTTTTGAGCAGTTGGCATTCCGGGTTAAATGAATACGGGGCAGGGTGTGTGTGTGTGGTTTGGTGGAAAGGCAAACCGTGGGAATTTGACGCTTTTACTACTTACAGAGACTGCATCCTAATGTTTTAATGTTGTATATTAATATTTTAAAATTGTATTTTAATCAACTTGTTTTTATTATTGGTTGTTAGCCGCCCTGAGCCCCGGTCTTGGCTGGGGAGGGCGGGGTATAAATAAAAAAATATTGTTATTATTATTATTTCGTCAGATTTGTACACGGCTTGGGCGTAAAGAAAATCCTCAGCACGGTTCTATTTTTTTTTTTAAATAATATTTATTAAAATTTCACAGGAAAAAAACACCACATTAATAAAGAAAAAGTTAACAATAAAAAGAAAAAATACAAAGTAAGAAAAGAAAAAAACAATTTCATCTTTTCCTCACTTCTTTTACATTTACTTGTTTCTCAGACCTCCTCATACCTCCCTCTTTTGTATTCTAATTAAATATGTTAATCCAACAATTCCTTTCCCTCCTTTTTAATCCTAATCTTAATCTTGATATAATATAACTTAAAATTTTAGATTTTAGATATTAAAACCAATTTTTAGATATTAAAACCAATTTTTCCATATTCTTTTAGCCTGTACAGCTAGAAACCCCTTAACTTCAATCCAACTCAGCGCGGTTCTACGGAAAGGATGAATCAATAAGATTATGGGGGAAAGGAGTGTTTAAAAGCAATCCTTAAAAAGATTCAAACAAAAACAAAATGGGCTTAAAAGCAGGTTGTCTAAACACCCAGGCAGGAGTCGTAAGGGACGTTCTCCCAGAAATCTCATCGCTTGAGGGTTTGTAGAAGCTGGTGAGGACCGAGTCTGCAAAAAAAGAAAGGGAAAAAAAGGTTAATGGTAGTCATCGGCACAAATCTATAAATCAGAGGTGTCCGATGGGGCCAGGCTTGTCAGCCATTCTGGAGACATGTGCTTTCTGGGAACCGTTTATGAATGAATGTCCTTACGGAAGGCTCCTTCTAGAGATTTGGCAGCGGTGGTGATGTAGTCAGTTGCGGCTGTTTCAACGGCCCCCAATTGGTGGAGCCAAGGGTTCGCAGCAGAAAACAAGCTTGCCCCGTCTTCCACGAGACAGCCGTTCAGATGTTGGAGAATGACCATCGCGTCTCCGCTTTTACAGGCTAAGCATACCCAGTTCCCTCAAAATGTCAGAGTTGTTTCCAATAGAACCAGGAACTGTGTGTTTGAGTATCCCTCTTTGCCTTTTTGGGACAGAATCCCCCCTCCAAAAATCTGAACAATCTCCTCTCATGGGTTCGAGTCCTACCCTCCAGGAGAAAACAAGCTTGCTCCATCTTCCATAGGATTCGTTGTTTAGTTGTGTCCAACTCTTCGTGACCCCCTGGACCAGAGCACACAAGGCACTCCTGTCTTCCACTGCCTCCCGCAGTTTGGTCAAACTCATGTTTGTAGCTTCGAGAACACTGTCCCACCATCTCGTCCTCTGCCGTCCCCTTCTCCTTGTGCCCTCCATCTTTCCCAACATCAGGGTCTTTTCCAGGCAGTCTTCTCTTCTCATGAGGTGGCCAAAGTCTTGGAGCCTCAGCTTCAGGATCTGTCCTTCCAGTGAGCACTCAGGGCTGATTTCCTTCAGAATGGAGAGGTTTGATCTTCTTGCAGTCCATGGGACTCTCCAGAGTCTCCTCCAGCACCAGAGTTCAAAAGCATCAACTCTTCGGCGATCAGCCTTCTTGATGGTCCAGCTCTCACTTCCATACATCACTACTGGGAAAACCATAACTTTAACTATACGGACCTTTGTTGGCATGGTGATGTCTCTGCTTTTTACTTCCATGGGATAGCCCTTGAGATATTGGAAGATGGCTCTCCTATCTCCTCTCAGTCTCTTTCCCAGCCTAAACATACCCAGCTCCTTCAACCGTTCCTCATCAGGCTTAGCTGCCAGGCCCTTGATCATCGCCTAATATAAATTTGACCAAACTGCAGGAGGCAGTGGAAGACTGGAGTGCCTGGCGTGCTCTGGTCCAGGGGGTCACAAAGAGTCGGACACGACTAACCGACTAAGCATTCTGCATGGACTGGTTTCATGGCCACATGTGCAAATGGCTTGAGATACCTATTAGGCCCATCAACTGCCATATAGCATATACAGGTGAAACTCGAAAAAGTAGAATATCGTGGGAAAGTTCCTTGATTTCAGGAATTCAACTTGAAAGGTGAAACTAATATATGAGATCGACTCGTGACATGCAAAGCGAGATATGTCAAGCCTTGATTTGTGATAATTGTGATGATCATGGCGTACAGCTGGTGAAAACCCCAAATTAACCATCTCAGAAAATTAGAATATTCAAGGAAATCAGCAAAACAAGGATTGCAAATCGAGCAAGATTGGACTTCTGAGAAGTAGAAGCACATCTCGCTTTGCATGTCACAAGTCAATCTCATCTATTAGTTTCACCATTCAAGCTGAATTCCTGAAATCAATGAACTTTTCCACGATATTCTAATTTTTCGAGTTTCACCTGTATTCAACACACACAAAAAGCAGCGACAATTGTTGACAAAGGACAGCTGGACATAGAAAGGCCCTATTGCCTTCAGTAGCTTAGAGCCTCATCAAACCTAAATCCAGGCCTGTCCATGTGTGTTTGAACCTTGTTGCAACAACAAAGATCAGGTCTACTGACCACTGATTTGTTTCTTTACTTGGCTGGAGATTCCTCCTTTTGCTGGTCAGGAGAGTGGCAAACCCGACGAGCTGGACAGTGGAGTAAACCTGTGCCCAGAATTTTCCCATAACATCTGGATTATCAGTGTCCTTACTCTGGGTGCCGGTCTCCTAAGAGGAGGGTGTTGGATTGGGGCGTAAGCTCTTTTCCTTCCTCTGCCTCCGAAACGAATCTGCTATTTCTGGCGCCGAGCCTAAAACTGACACGGCTTAGAAATCAGACATTGTCGAGAGCTGTTAATTGTAAGGCCCGGCTGACGGTACACAAGCTTGCAAGGATTTGTGATGCGGGGTGAAAGTGGGGGGAAATAAATAGAACTCTCATCTGCAGCTGCCTCCTGCATTTTTTAAAATTAGGGCATCGCCCCCACTCCTCAAGAGGCAGAGGCACGCAGCTGAAATCTCAGCATTGTCTCCCGCCTCGAACGACACACATGGAAAAGGTGTGGTTCGTTTTTGGGTGGAAGGGAAGGTCTGAAGGAGGAGCGGATGTGGCTCCAGCCTCTAGAATTGGCAGGGGAAGAAGTCGTAGATTCATCGAACCCCCGAAGGGACCCACGAGGGTCATCTAGTCCAACCCCCCTTTGCAATGCAGGAATCGCAGCTGGAGAATCTCTGACAGATGGCCAGCAAATCTCCACTTCAAAACCGCCAAGAAAGGAAAGACAGCCGTCTCCCAAACAAGTCCGTTTCACTGTTGATGAACAAGCTGGAAGGTGGGTCCAGAAGGGTGACCAAGATAGTCGAGGGGTCAGCAAACTTTTTCAGCAGGGGGCCGGTCCACTGTCCCTCAGACCCAGTGGGGGGCCGGACTATATTCTGAAAATAAATGAACTAATTCCAATGCCCCACAAATAACCCAGAGATGCATTTTAAATAAAAGGACACATTCTAATCATGTAAAAACATGCTGGTTCCCGGACCGTTCGTGGGCCGGATTGAGAAGGCGATTGGGCTGGATCTGGCCCCCGGGCCTTAGGTTGCTGACTCATGGTCAAGGGTCTGGAAACCAAGCCTGATGAGGAGCAGTTGAAGGATCTGTGTATGTTTAGCCCAGAAAAGAGGAGACTGAGAGGAGATAGGAGAGGCATTTTCAAGTGTATCAAGGTTAAAAATACATTAAAACACCAGTCATTAAAAACTTCCCTAAACAGGGCTGCCTTCAGATGTCTTCTAAATGTCAGATAGTTGTTTATTTCCTTGACATCTGATGGGAGGGCGCCACCACCAAGAAGGCCCTCTGCCTGGTTCCCTGTAACCTCACTTCTCGCAGGGAGGGAACTGCCAGAAAGCCCTCAGAGCTGGACCTTAATGTCTGGGTTGAACGATACTATGATCAATTCAGACTTCTGGTCCATTTTTTCAAAGCATTTCCTAGCCTTATCCGGGGGTGCCGAGACTCGAACCCAGGGCGTTCTGCGTGCAAAGGCAGACACTCCAACACAGCCTTTTGCTGGATTAAATGTACCCCTGACGTGCAATTTTAGAAATCTATCAAATGAAACGACGGAGACTTATTCCCCATGCGTCGTTCCCTCTGGCAGCGAGCAAGAGTTCAGAATTAGGGGGGAGAAACTGGGGTGCCCCATTGATCCCTGAAGGCACCACTCCCTATCAGATATATTGGTGTCGCAACCATTAAGCTTAGATCAGAAACCCCAAGCCGCCCTATTCCTTCTGTTTCACATGACAATTTGTTCTGAGCTTAAAATGGATCTAACATTTCCCTGCCAGGCGATTTTGGCTTTGAAATCTACCCAGCCATTGTTAAGCAGAGTGGGCGAATTGCTGAAAATAATAGGTGGCCCGGCATGAAAAGACCAGGAAAGGTTTCAGGGGGTTAAACACATACAGCCTGTTCAAGCTTTATATTATTTTCTATTTGATTGGGAACCGCCAGAAGGCCCTCAGTGCTGGACCTCAGTGTCCGGGCTGAACGATGGGGGTGGAGACGCTCCTTCAGGTATACTGGGCCATTTAGGGCTTTCAAGGTCAGCACCAACACTTTGAATTGTGCTCGGAAACGTCCTGGGAGCCAATGTAGGTCTTTCAGGACTGATATTATATGGTCTCAGCGGCCACTCCCAGTCCCCAGTCTGGCTGCCGCATTCTGGATTAGTTGTAGTTTCCGGGTCACCTTCAAAGGTAGCCCCACGGAGAGTGCATTGCAGTAGTCCAAGCGGGAGATAACCAGAGCATGCACCACTCTGGCCAGACAGTCTGTGGGCAGGGAGGGTCTTATCCTGCGTTCCAGATGGAGCTGCCCTGGACACAGAATCGACCTGCACCTCCATGGACAGCTGTGAGTCCAAAATGACTCCCAGGCTGTGCGACCTCTGCCTGGCTCCCTGCACAACCTCTCATCTCGCAGGGAGTGGACCGTCAGAAGGCCCTTGGAGCTGGACCCAGGTGTCCGGGCTGAACAATGGGGTTGGAGAGGCTCCTTTACGTATACTGGGCTGAGGCCGTTTAGGGCTTTCAAGGTCAGCACCAACACTTTGAATTGTGCTTGGAAACGTCCTGGGAGCCAATGTAGGTCTTTCAGGACCGGTGTTATATGGTCTCCACTCCCAGTCCCCAGTCTAGCTGCTGCATTCTGAATTAGTTGCAGTTTCCGGGTCACCTTCAAAGGTAGCCCCACGTAGAGCGCATGGCAGTAGTCCAAGCGGGAGATAACCAGAGCATGCACCACTCTGGCCAGACAGTCCGCTTAGCATCATAGAGTTGAAAGTGACCGTGAGAGTCATCTAGTCCAACCCTCTACAACGCAAGAATTTGCAGTCCCATATGGTGGACCGAACTGCAACCTTGGCGTAATCAGCTCTAACCAACTGAGCTATCCAGATTTGCCAACTCATGTTGGTGGAATGGTCCTTAAACTGGCCTGAATGGACCAGCCTCTGTTGACGGCTGGGCTTCTCCAGTCGACTGTTTTTGGGAAACAGAAGGATCCTGAGACCCAGGTATGGCAGATTTTTTGCAATCTGAGCTTCCAGAGAGATACAGTGGTGCCTCGCAAGACGAAATTAATTCGTTCCGTGAGTTTTGTCCCCTTGCGATTTTTTTCGTCTTGCGAAGCACGGTGTCGGGAAAGTTTTGGAAAAGCTTCAAAAATCACCAAAGTCTTTGAAAAGCTCAAAAAAGGCTACCACACCGCGTTCTATGAGTTGCTCCTCGAAGTCAAGTCGCAACTGTATTAACGGTGATAAGAAAAAGGAAACAAACTTGCAAGACGTTTCCGTCTTGCGAAGCAAGCCCATAGGGAAAATTGTCTTGCGAAGCAGCTCAAAAAACAAAAAACCCTTTCGTCTAGCGAGTTTTTTGTCTCGCGAGGCATTCGTCTTGCGAGGTACCACTGTAGAGCCCTACCACATTTTTGTGGGGCTTCATGAAATGGCCTCGTGTCCTCTCGCTTCTAAGTACAGAGAAAGAGAGAGAGAGAGTGTGTGTGTCAGCATGTCGTCAGCCGCATGCCATCTGCAAGTGAAAAGCGAGGAGATTAAAAATAGTCCTGTTAAATGTGAAGGCTTTAAGAGGCAGAATCTAGCAGAGAAGGGAATAAAGGAGCTTTCACAGTAGCAGCGAGAGAGGGAGGTAGAGGAATAAGAACATTTTGGTGTGTGTTTTTTATTATAAAACATTTCTATCCCACTGTTCTGCCAAGCAGTGGTGCAGTGAGCAGACCTCTTCGAAATGGAATTAAACCCATTTTCTGTGGCGTCCTGGGGTGCCTTGAAGGATTGTCAGTTGAAAAGGGTCCCTGGATTCATTGGGAAAAAAATCTGGTAACCTCACCCCAAATTCCATCTCTTCTGGTAGATCCTGCTAGATTGCTGGAAGGGCCTCTTGCGTTGTATGAAAGGTAGAGAAAGTCGGGGAAACGGAATAAACAGTTGTGTAGATGCAGCCCTGATCTAACATAATTTGCACCTATCTCAACCAGTCCCTGCTCCTGCCAACCTAGCAGTTCAAAAGCATGTTAGAGTGCAAGTACCATATTTTTTGCACCATAACACACACTCTTTTCCTCCTAGAAAGTAAGGGGAAATGTCTGTGCGTGTTATGGAGCGAATGCCTGCGGGTGGCGGGGGGGGGGGGATCTGCTGCAGTCGTCAGCAGAGGATCCATGGTTCCCCTTCCTTCCCTCCTCCGTGGTTACAAAGCATGGATCCACATCTATCCTCAGGATTTTTGCATTGGGCTACTCCAAACTCACTGTCAGATCACATGTCTGTGGCCACAGCATGAACCACAAAAATCATATATCCACTATTTCGTTTAGAATATTTTTTTTCTTGTTTTCCTCCTCTAAAAACTACGTGCGTGTTATGGTCTGGTGCGTGTTATAGAGAGAAAAATACGGTAGATAAATAGGTACCGCTCCGGCGGGAAGGTAAACGGCGTTTCCGTGCGCTGCTCTGGTTCGCCAGAAGCGGCTTAGTCCTGCTGGCCACATGACCCGGAAGCTGTACGCCGGCTACCTTGGCCAGTAAAGCGAGATGAGCGCCGCAACCCCAGAGTCGGCCACGACTGGACCTAATGGTTAGGGGTCCCTTTACCCTTTACCTTATAGTATATTGCTCTGCACCTGGTCTTTTTTGCAAATCCCTCTCCCTCTCCTGTCTCCAAGAAAAATAACACACCTATATCACACCCACTCTCCTCCCGCAATTGTTTGACTCTCCCCTTCACACAACCCACATTACACGACCTGTAG